TATCCCGCTCGAAGCTTTAAAAGAAAATTTGAACGTGGCTTAACGACACTCTCAAAATGACTAACAAGATCTCCGCAAGGCGCTCAGTCGGTATATACAAGCCAGATTCGGTCACCAATACTTCCATGTCATATAATCCTGGAATATTCCCGAAATACTTGCTTTTTGTCATAACATTTTGAATCGTTCTATTTACTTATTATATACTTATATTAATTTGCTGCTACCAGCGTTGTCCGAGTATTCTATAGCGCAATGGCGACAAGTATACTAGAAGGGATAGAAACTATTTTGGAGATGTTCAGATTCAAAATCACAGAAAGTCAAAGACTTGAGATCACGTTTTTGAAGCTGTTAACCAAAACGAAGGGTGCATTATTTTATGAATCGTTTTTTTCTGAGAATTACTGGGGCTTTTACTAGAGGATTATAAGATGTCAGCATCGACAGACGAACCTACCTATACCCATTTCCGTATTCCCTTAATTAGTATACAAACGTTCTAGAATTTTGCCATTAAACTCGCACCTTCTATTCAGCTAAGCGTAAGCAAAAATCGTACAAAAAGGGTACGATTTTTGCTTACACTTAGCTGAATAGAAGTCTCAATAGACCCACCCTCTGTGTTTTATTTAAAATGCATTGTGTACTCCTGACAAGCTTACCACCTTTAAAAAATTTGCTTGCCACCTTCCTGAGTCTTCTCATTACTTGTTTTTAATCTGCTTGCCAATTTTTCTCAACCTGGTTAGCATTTGCTTTCAAAATGAAATCGTTCGACAATATGTTTAGACGAAGGCCACACTTTAGAGTTTAGGGATATTAGGTCTTAAATGGTTCATTTCAACGCTGAACTGCCTGCAAGTTCCCATTATCATGTTTCAGCGTTTCGCTCAAGCTGACGAAGTTGTGCTCGAGTAAAGAATCAAGCCAGACTTCGCTGTGGACTTATCAGTACTGACCTGTACAACCTTTATGTCGTTTACATAACATTAAAGCGCACCCGCGATGCGATGGGGCGCACTAGTAGCTACTGGACCTACGGATACTACACCAAGCATGATTTGTTCTACACTGAATTCCTAAGTAAAAATGACATCATATCTACATTTGACCGTGGTTCACCGTGTTCATCCAGCCATCATGCTAGCGATATACCTCATTGCAGTACTGTAGCACGAAGAATAATAGCGTCGACCCAGAAACCCAGAAAACGGATGGCTTTGTTACCCTTGCGTTCGACATTCAGATAACGGGACAGTGGCTTGTATACTAAGCATATGCTATCCTTGCTTTGTATATTCATTTCGCACCTAACTAAGGATGGCACTCAAGCAGTATACATACTGCGGTGACGATGCATATTTGCCGCCACAGTGTACAAATGCAATCTAGCCGCTCTATATCACGTTTCTAAATAGCAATAGTAATAAAAACGCCTAGGACTTCCAGGACGCGTTTGACCACTTGGTTACAATTCCACGCATGTGTCCTAATGCATGACCTACGATAATCTACGAAACCTAGCCCAGGGCTAGGTTTTGTAGATGACTGTCAAATCTTTGAGCCCGCCATGACACCCGCTTGAAAATTAGGTAGGGTGTACTGCAGCGGGATTGTCTCAATCGACAGCATATTGGTATCATTCTTATATTATTGGAAATGAGGCAAACTCTCGACTACTTGTGTTTAAGCTACCCGGAATGACCGCGACTTCAGCTTGGGCTCCGCGATCTGTAACTGCGCAGTGCTTTTTTCGACTCGGCACAGCAGTTTGTTAACGAATACGAACCCAGGAACGCCTCTACCTAATCTGCGTCAAATCTAAAAATAGGCCTAACGACGACGTCGCTCAAGCAAAAGTCTGCCCGTTGCATTCCCCGCCACTAGCCACCTCATGAGTTCCACAATGGGCACCAGAAAGTGCCTCGTATCCTACACAGGGTCCTTCTTCCGCGGCACACGAATAGGCCGGTCTCCACGGTGAGGCACTTAGCTTGCAGGTGACCGAATCGACACCATTATCGAAACGAAGTGCGTCTATACCCGGATTTGAAACTAAATCACGACGCGTCCCTAAGACTATTGGGTAAATACATCTCCCACTAAGATATCACAGGGCAGGGGACTGGCGCATCGTAAAAATCTGTATTAGTTTTCTGATACATTTAGTCATAGGCCTTGTTTCAAGAATAATGACGGTACACTTATGTTCTTACACTCATGTATATTTTATCCACATGCCTCAACCTTGATAGACACGTTTATTCAACGTGACCACCACTCGCTTACAACGACGTCGACCCAGAACCTAAACCTGTGTTAGAAAAATTTTCGAAATAGTGTAGAAATATTTTCGGCAGCCTTCTTAATAGCGACAGTAAAAAGGTCGATGTCATTATGTCGAGATTCGTTAAATTGTTGTTTGCTGAAGGTCGGACAAAGTCCATTCGGGGCTCCACTACCGTATTTAAAGACAGTCGCAACTTACCGAAAAATGATTTCTCACCTTTACTGTTAGAGAAATTGTTTGCCTCATCTCCTTTGAGACAAATTTGCTATAATACTGAGCCTGTATTGCCAAGACGTAAGCTTGGCCCAAATCAAACCGTTAGTTTTTCTCAAAAATTCCCAAGGCACCAAAAAGATCCCCAGCTCCAGAAATTAACCTGATGTGATCTTTCCGTGATGTGTCATAAAGATACTTAAGTAACTACAGATAATCTCTTGCAAAAAAATCCCGTCGTTTATGGACTAATGCATGAACGGCTAAACGCTTTCAAGGGAAAGGTCTTACGTTACTACTATAGAAACGAGGTGTGACAATGGCTACAACACCTAGAGACTATGAACCAAACCTAATACAACACCTTAATATATATGTGTATATATTAAGGTGTTGTGAGGAGCAAAGTAGCCGATTTGGCCTAATTAGAACACAAGAAGCAAAGACGAAGTTGAAGAAAATAAGAAGTAATATTTTATGTACGTCAGTCCACAAAGGTTGTACCGCATGACGCAATTCTATAGCGGATCTATATAACACCTCGTACACAGTCAATATCCGTCAGGATTCAGACCAACAAAGTACGAAGTTTGTATTATTATTCCAATGTTATGACACACTTATAGCAGCGCTCTATCAGAACCATTTAGTATATCTATAAAATAGATAGCAACAATGTAGTATAGACCTCCTGTTCCCTTGTTCACGGCGAAAGGCATCGATGAGATGTATCCATATTCCTATCTTTCCAATGTAGTTTTTAATGTTTTTTAAATTATTGTTAGTTAAATAAGTGATCGCTAGAAAATAAATACTTATATTTGAGATATGTATTTATTAAGAAAATAAATAATCACTTTTATAATGCATAGTTCATAGTACAATGTGCACTATTCTATCTAGTGGTTTTGACAATCTTACAGAATTTCGAATAATTTTTACATTATTACGTCCAGCGTAACCATCAATACATTTATGGCCCACCTGTTCCTTAATACAAAGTATACACGACGGCTGGCCGGATCAGTGCTGATCAACCTTACAATAAAATTTTCCGAAAAAAAAGAATGTTATCTTCAGCAATAAAGTCAAGCTATACTCAGTTCTTCGCTAATTTAGGAATTTACTTGAAGATTCAGATAGAAACATATATAGTCAACGTAGTACGGCTTAAATTGTTGTTGTAGACAAAAATATCTCACTCACATCTGCGCTACGATCACTGGCCTGTTTGCGGATAGGTCACCGGCATAGTAACACACAAATAGTAATCCTGGGTTATATATAAATGTCAATAAGTCTATCAGTTAGTTAGCTTACGACTCTCAATATATATATTATTTCGAATTTGGTCTTGTTGTGAGTGGCCGATAATCTAGTGACGCGAGCAATAGTCGAAAACTTCGAATTTGTACGCAATAAAAATGTTAGATACGTTCGGTCCGTAGGTAAGATACGCTACTATCGCCTTTCGACCACTGTTTGTTTATTAATAACAATAGAAACAACAAAAGAAAGTCATAGAGTTCGCAATAGAAAGAGAGGGACGAATGGTCTCTCTACGTTCGCTGTTGATTCCAATCAGGTTACTAATCAGATTAAAGAAACAATTAAATTACGACCTTCTGACATGATGAACCGAGGTCCTTAGCCAGTTGGTAAAAAGAGGCCAATTTATGATCTACCAGTGTATCTAATATTGGTAAAAAGAAACGAGTCTACAGTCAGTCAACGTGCAGTGTGTGCTGAAGAAGCCTAAACAAGGCCTATTTATTTGTCTTCGTCATGTGCTGCGGCGGGGTGGGGAACGGAAGTTGTGGGGGGTGAAAATGAAAACGCAACTTCGGACGGATAAAATAGCGCAAATAGTTTCGTTTGCAGAATATACTAGCATCATGGAAATGAGCAGTTCTTTTGAGTCAAAACACAAACATAGCCTTGTAACGGTGCGAGAACTTGCAGGGAAACGTAACTTGTCAAGAATTTATTAGTACAACAGCGTTTCACGTAGCGACTCACTCTATTTTGGCCTAAGCAATAACGTCAATAACCGCGCCAATTTGGATAAAACACGCTTCTTCACCCGTATGTGCTTCCGCTACATGTTACGCATGAATATTTTCTAGCATTTAAGCCGCAGGAGATGGGCGGCGGCCTATCGCCGGCATACGATTGTCCGTAGGTAAAACCCGGATTTCTTCCAGGCGCACTTCGTTGAATAATATGTCATATGATCCATACTTTGTGCCATATTTTACTAGTCGTGAGTCTGCTGTCATGTGTCCGACATTAATTCGCAGACAAATGTATTTACGATGTTGTACAGAATTGCTGAACAGTGTTCCACTGGTGGGTAGGTGGGCCGCACCTGTTCAAGCGTCACTCTGAATTTGTGTATAGACACAGATTCGACGCCACGGTTGGTGCAACGAGGACGCCCAACTTAAATTGAGCGTAACAATATATATTAATACGTCTTTTTTAAGGTCATCTAAGACATTGAAAGAATACGCATGCGCCCTAGCGCATCAAACAAAACGAATCCACAAAATCCAATTCGATATTGTATCCACTTTCTATTAATAGATGCTACTTACCGTCAGTGGCTACCGACGGTTCTAAATCATCAACTGGAAAAGACAACCGTGTATTGATGAAAGCCTGTTTGGATAAAGGAGGCCTCGAAAACATGACTGTTTTCGAGGCCTGCCTTCGATTGATAATGAACGGCAAGGGATTGAAAGGTAGAATTGTATCTATACATATGGTCAAACTTTCATGCTCATCGATTTGTTCACTAAATGACAACAGACTTGCTGTTGAAATAAATTTTATCGTGTCTCGCTAGAATTGAGACCTTTATAATTCAGCGTCTTCTAGACGATTGATTTCGAATCTATGAGAGTCGCAAGTGAAGAACGCTTGGTGTATCTCTAGTTGTAGTAATCTAACCAATATACGAGATGCTTGTTGAGCGTTCCTCGGTGAGAAAGTGATTTACCGTTCACTCGTAGTGGAAAATTTCGTACTCATAATAAACTTGATTACCGCTAAGGAAGACAACCTCCTTTTGCGAAGATACATTTTGTCGTTGTCGCCGTTCGTTCCTACAACGTACCTGCGGTTGCGACTTTTAAACAGGCCAGTTTTGTGTCAAATATTAGGCTGCCGCTGTTGTTTACCTCTGCGAGTGCGTGGGGCAAATCCAATGTGCTACTGAGGACTCCTTGAGTACTGTTATAGAATACAGTTAAACTCATCCATTATAGAGCGTCTTAACAAGAAACCATACTTTGCTTTTGCCACAGCTTGTGCTTATCGTTTCAACGATTCCGGCAATGGAATCCAGTCACGAAGAACTTGCGTACAATGAGATGATGCGAATGTGCCAGATTTGTATCTTTATATATCTCCTTGCCGTACCCACATCAGTATATCACCGACGGTTTGTCAAGCCGCGTATAGTAAGATGTTCGAACAATAGGATTTCTGCGCGCGGAAATAGGTATAAACAGACAAAATTCAATGCACCGTTATCACCTTATCCGTTCAGGGCCTTAATGTTCGTCAATATGCGTTGAAGATAGGTGTGGCCTATCGCCGATCTAAACCATGATCGAGTTGTGTTAAATCGTATTTTCGAACGAAGTTTCGCAGAGGTCCGAAAGCGCTCTATGTTTCTAACAAACGCCGCTTCTATCACAAGCTTCCACCCATGGCACACTACAATGAATGTACGATACCGTAGCAATGCACGCAAAACGATCACACAATGAATTACTAGTCGATTCGTTCAACCCAATTGTCGCAGGCGATTCTCGCAGCCACTATGAGCGCTCTAGATGATTCATTCGATCTATTCCTCTTTGAAATGAGGCTTTTTAACGCTTCGTGCAGCTCCATTGATCGACGTCATGTGATCCTATTTCGAAAAAAAAAAACATCGCATGCTAAGCTTTACAGACAGGAGCCCCGCGCTTTTCAACAAGGTAGATATCAAACGACGCGTGGAAAACTAGTGAAATATCGAGATAAAAAAACATCTCCAAAGACCATATGCGTACATGCCCAGAAGTTTAAAGCCGTGCTCATTCCTCCGAACTGTTAACCTAAATGGTGAGTCGACCTCACAGTGGCCTGCAGGATTTGATCGCTCACCTGTCTGTTCGAATACAATCAAAGACCATCGTCGGCAGATGCTTCGTTTTTTAACCTTTTCCATTTGTTTGAAACATATATGAATTTCCGTTCCTAGAGATCGCATTGGCAGGCAAGAGTCGAGGAGAGTCAGCCGGTTTTGCATGGACCTCATGCCAGACCCTGATGCAAAGGCTTTGTGGTCTGCCATAGCTTCTGTCGTATTATCGCTGTGGAAATAATGTAAAATCTCTATGAAGTGAATGTTTTTTTACGGAGACTGACCAATAACTCTCAAGATTCAGCTGTTAAAACTTTTTTACAAAAGAACTATTCTACGAACGGTCGTAAATTTGACGCTAGATGGCGTAAGAGTTTACATGTTTATATGCTATATTATACAATAAATTACGGACGATTCAAACACACAGTGTCTTAATACAGGTGTTTACCCTACTAATAGTAATACTTTTGATACCCGCACCTTCAGCAGTGTCGATCCACTAGCTGCTAACTAGGACTGCACTAAATCAAATTGAGAATGGGGGCCTGGAAGATCGTGCAATCCTATTTTACCTAATGTAGTACGTATTGCGTCCTAATGCATTTCGGATCTAGAACATACGGCTGCATCAATAGTCGGCACAAACAACGCGCATATATGTAAGTACTCGAAAGAGCAAAAGTGTAAAGTCGCTTTCCGACTAAAACGGCCCGTACCACTTATTTAAAATGCATAGTTCGCAATCGTTACCCACACTGCAGTTTTCGATGTATATAGTTGAAAAGTACCGCAGCGGCCTCACACGCCGCCTCGATACCTGAGCGGTCGCACCAAGGCGGTCCAAAACAATGCGACTGATATGCGATTATGTCCGTATACTCACAAAGACCCTCTTCGCTAACACGTTACGACCCCGATTATCGGATCCGCTTGCACAGAAGTAGATACTATACTCAAAATGAGACCTCGTCGCTAACTACTTTGGAAATGTTCTCGAATCTAACAGGAACTTCGTTTAAAGATAAAAGTTGTCCGCGGAATAGATTTCTGCATTTACAGCTGTAAAATATAAGGGGGGATTCATCATATAGAAGTGCTCCTTATCGAAATTTTTTTCGCTAATGTCATGATCACTCACCGGCAACCTTGTCGACCTGCGACACTGTTACCCCGATGGCGTCTGGCCTCCTGAGGGTAGGACATCTCTGCAGAACTATCTGCTCGGGCAGCGTCTGCGGCCAACATAGAAAGCCGTCCCAGTCACGCGGGCAGGATCGCGCTGTCAGACTATTTCCTTCACCGTTAGCATCGATGGGATACGGAGTAAAGTTTACATTGCTTTGTCGCTCCGTTGAGTTCAGACAAAGGCTCATTGACTGAACCTCCGGTAGAGGGACTACCACCACCGTTGAGTTGCTCCACTCATCCAAATCCTTATTGGCCTGAAAGCGACCATTCACCTTGTTATTATTATTATTATTACTACTGCTACTGAAATAGTAAAAGTATAAGAAAGAATTTTCATTGATCTACTCTTGCGGTTCGTTGATATTATACACTTCATTACAAGAACGTTGCACGGCCAAGTTTTATTCAGCAACTACCTTTCAGGAAAAGCGGCCCATCTCTCAAAAAAACGATAGCATTAATACAATCTATTACCCTATCCTAATAGAATGAGTTCCTGAACAATCAGAACAAATATGCAAATCGTCTATTTGTACACCTTAAATTAAGCCGAGTGCAACTAAGTAGTTGAGATGGGCCCTAATGAGTGAGATATCCTAAGGAATATTATCGAAAGTTACTCAAGCTCACTTGCTTCTTGTCCCAAGTTCCAGGGGAGCAGGCGCAAGTTCAAAATTAGTCAGACAGTTCGGAGGGATAAACAAGGGTCGAAGGCCCTCCGTTGGCTGTTCAACTGCTTTTTGGTTTTATCCTGACCTGTGCGGGCTAATATCATAAGTGGCTCGGCTTGAGACATTGGGCTTTTACCTATTTTGTAATGATGCGTTTACCACAATAACGTTTAGCGGGCTGAGCTATTTACCAGTTCTGCAATAACCCTCAGTGGGCCTTAAACAGACAAGCACCTACGACATCCGATTGGTTTATGAGAGTTAGTTAGCACATAGGTCTGCGAGCATGTTTGTACTAACAATGGCCTCATCGAATTAAATAGTTGCATAGTAAAGTATATAAACATGATAGATTTAAAAGATGTTGGAAGATGGTCGGAAGTGGTAGTTGTTGAGAAAGATTTTTAGTTCAGTTTGCTGCTGTGCTTTTCTTCAAGTATTTTTAACTTGTTTTAGGTAGCAAAATTTTATCGGTATCGCTTTAGTGTATAGGCGCTCGGACAATAAGAAGATGTTGCTTGGCATATCCGCCAATGGAACCAACTCCGAGACAATCACCCTAAGGCTAAATAAATTACACTTTACAATATTCCTATTTATCTACTCTTTCGTTTCGATATTCTCCGGATAAACTATCTTCCACGTAGCTGGTTACTTACAATTCGATAATGAGTTTTGATATATTAATTTCAGCGAGAGTCGACCTGTTCAAACTTATATAGACCGACATTTATCTACTGGGGCTATGTTATTAAACAAGCCAGATCGGAGTGGGTCGCACTCTTTGGATCGCTATATATCTGTCATTTTGGAATAACTTGTCTCAATAACAACACGTTGAGTTTTCAATTAGATAGTTGCTAAGGGCTCTTGCATTCAACGGACGTAGTACCGCGTACGTGCCCAAGTCAATAGCAAGGTGCTCAGCTTGCTAAATAAATAGCTCGTAACGTGTCATTCCGTACCGACATTTTGATAACAGTCATCAAGACTAAGGAGGATTTCTATAAAAGTGCCGACCATTTTACCGTATAAACGGTTCTAGAAAGCTATTTCGTAGGTACGAATTGTGTCTATTTTATCCAGTTCAAAACGACAACGGGTATTTGGCAAGGGACGCTTATTTGGCAGCTCGTCCTTCCTCAAACACTATTGCACGTATAGGTAGGCGAATTTTCCATATAAGAAATCCAGTTTTAACTATAAGTATAATCATTTTTGATTGGCATCGCCACATCAATATAAAATAAAAACTCTGCTACGTATGATCACTTACGTTGGCACCGGTGACCAAACAAACATTGGCGAGGCGTAGAACGTGTGAAAACGAAAGAAGTATACATATGGTTCTATCTGATATTTCAGGAAAGTCTGATTATGCTGTAGACAAATTTCGATAGTAATTCGTAGGCTGTTGCTTGTGTTAGTTACAGTTATTATAGCAACAGGCTCAGACATAAAAAAAGGCTATATTTTTATGTGTAAAGGCTTTATTTAGTTACGTTTTCCGACTGGCGTTAAGCATTGCTTGACACTTAATGATCATTTAATAATGCTTGTCGTGTAAGATATATCATTATCTATATAAGTGTCGAACGACCCTGTAAAATAAGCTCCCCGATATTACTGTGATGTATCATACCCCGTCGTATAAAACAAGGGGTAGTGACGGATTTACGCAAAAAGCTAAATTTATGCAACTCGCATCCAGTAGATGAGTCAGAAATCTTTGTATTTATTTGATGACACTTGTAGTGACAAGTCCTTCATCAAGTTCCACGCGACTGTTAACGCACCTACATATAAACTGAACCGGAGAGAAGACCCAGTGGAGTTATTGACGAGGGAGGTGTTCGTTTACTGTTTTGCCCGCTGGCGCTCGTTGCCGATAGATTGAGCTGCTGTTATTTGTCCGAGGCCGACAGACTCAGCGTTCAGAATGAAAATTAGATACGTTAAGATAGATTAAAGATCACTCAATCAATAATGTTTGTGTAGAAGATATCATGTGGCACGTTTCGCTTGATCGAGCTTATTTAAGCCCACAGCAGTTAACTATATACAATATAAAATGGGCAGTTCTTAAAACAACATTCTGAAAACTAATTGGCGCTCATTGTTAGAAGTACACGATCTGTCCAAATATAATGAATACAGGCACTACACGAGCGACTTGCAAAAAAAAATTTCTTAACATCTAATGGTTATAGATAGCAACGAAAGTTGTTGCTCCGAGCAGAGTAGCACAAGTTCTAAGTTCTTGTAAGTTTAGCTGGTAACGTATTTGCCTGCTAATTCGCGTATTGAGGACACGGTATGGTCTGGATTCGAACCCGGGCCTAGACACACGGTTTGCTTCGTGCCAAAAGCCAGCCATATGATTGTTTGCCTGATAGTGATGCCGATCGTCAAACTCGAAACATAAAGGCGCAGATTAGGATATGCAGGAGAAAATGTTAGATGAAATAAACCGCGTAAAAGTTCGCGAGATAGTTCTAAAGACATACAATCGTTCATTGAGCCAAAATACGATGGGGTATCGATGCGAATTCTGGAGACAACGCGTTCGATATGGCCAACATAACAAAGGCAGCGTCTATGCATGGGTAGTTATCGTCAATGTGCTTCTACGCACATTTAAAGGATTGATATGGTAAAGAAGCTATGAAGTAGTTAAATCATGTTGGTATTTCGTTATCTGGTTTGATATCTGCGTGTCGCTCATCACCCGAATCAATCATTCAGCTTCCTCAACAGACTTAGCCTCGGCAACAGCTCTCCTGCCGGATGACTGAATAGAGTCCTCGACGTGCCCGAGTAATCGAGCACTTCGAGCATTCACTGAACTCGTCATTGCAAAAATTACTTCCTTCTGTGTTTGCAGTAACTTCGGCTAGAGGGCGGACCACACTACGTGCTGCGATATGCAGAAAGTAACAAAAAATAATCTATTACGTTTTGTAAAACGTGATCCAAGCAACGAGGGGGGCTGAAATCTCAGACGGCGCTCGCCCTGTTATTGCCGCACTTTTCTTTTGCATCTCGTATTCTACGCATTTTGCTTTTAAGCTGATTGAATTCATTGCCTTACTCACAACGGATAAGTGGCACATCGCGAGCTGGTATAACTTTAGTCAATTGGACCCCATTAGTCCAAAAATGGTAAGCGTTTGCTACCCATGACATAGTTAACGAAGAGGGTCTACTATGTATTAAAGATGCATTTGTACAACTAGTTCCGTCTCGATCGCCGTATTTACACAATGACTGAAAAGGTACTGACTTAGAACCCTCAAATCAGCTTTCCTATCTGTGGGGCAGAAAATAATTATCATCGTTTTGTAGATCAAGACGAATCTGGTTTCCATGTCCTTCGGTAGAGCAGTCTCAAGTTGCAAAAAAAATCACTTTAAATGGGAGCTATATGAAGACAGATACGTTGTAAAGACTGACAATATCACTAGTAATACTGGGAACTTAGGGCGATACCTCTACTTTCGAGCGATTAAGCAAAACGTATTAGACTGGTACTGGAATACTCTGGATAACTTATGTCGTGACAATTTCCAACAACAGCAAAATCTTTATAAAACTAGGTATAGACTTTTAAAAAACAATTAGAGGGACAGATTGGAAAATTCGTTTGTTTCTACATATCAGTATGGATATCGTAAGGATCACGTATGTCACGACTCTGACGTAAGAGTCGTATGTAAAATGCGCGGCTCATTGCGTTACCTGATATCAGGAAAAGCCATTTTACATGATAAGATTATCACAGGACGATATCGAATGAAAGGACGCTTTAACAAAGAGTGCAGCCGCTGCTGTTGCAGTTAATAGAATTTACCCGGCAAACATAAGACGCAACAATGCAGCATGACGACATGACTTCGTAAAGCAAACCTCTTTTTGGTTTTTGGTTTGGCCGATTTTCCGAAACGTACCTATATATATATATATATATATATATATATATAAGTGTTAAACCGTGGCTGGCCTATTTGAAACTGCCCATAACATTCAAATGCTGATCAGAAGAAATAAAACATTAAATATTAATGTTATTTTTCTGTCCTGTTTTGGTTTGCGTCCGATGGCATCGTAGATACTACATATGATGTACGTACGCTCATGTATACGCGCTTTATACACATACACTTATCAGTGAGTGCTAAAACTGATTGGACGGCCAGTGAGTATTGCGCCTTATGCGCCTTCAGCCGTATACGTACCAACTGTTTGTGTCTCGTGCAATCCACGCGTTTCATTACAGGTACAAACGTACATCTGACCCATGTTATTCTTAGAGGCAGTCTAGGCAGAGCAATCACTAGCCGAGAACAGAGTTTCTGGTAACACCAACCACCTCGGGCTAATCCGATCAGGGCGTGTTACGAAAGCCCTAAGGCGTGCTTTATCTATTTGTTATTATTAGTTGAACATGTACAGTTAGATCTAGACAGCATTAGACCGGTGTTATGGCTTGTATTAGTTGCCTGCCCTTTCTAGCAGTAGCTGCGCTCTGTTTGCAACGAGTTACATTATATGCCTATGTAACCTTAACAATAGAATTTTATCAT